CTGATCTCCGCCAACGTTATTTCTATTCAACAGATGTCTTGTCTTTTCGGCAACATTTCAACACGCTTTTGTAAAAGCCTCCTGTTACCGTAGCTCATTACTTGTGAGTGCTCGACAATATCGTCAATAGATTGAAACTAAATGGCGTCTGCGTTTCGGATGAGCATATCTATGATAGCCTCTGTAATAGTCCAAGAGAGCTGTGCGCTGATTGGGCTCTTTGGCTCTTTCTACCGATTGGACGGGGTGTCTCACCGGGCCCGGTGACCGGGGTACCTCCATTCATACTGACACGTTCCCCCCATGATATGTTCAGTCCACGAGCTCTTCGTCAATGAGCGGATTTGTACACCTTAACTCATCCACGTCACTTTCGTCCAGCTCCATCCGTTCACCTCTGTTTCATCCATGATCTTCTCGGTTAATTCTTTCCTTCCACGAGGTTTCATCCATTCATGCTCTCGTAACGATCGTTCCCTAAAATTTCCTCCGAAACACCTCATCCACTACTTTTCGTACACTAGCGACTTATTTCATCCATGCTCCTTTCGTTTTGGGCCGTTTTGGACATATGCGGCGCCGTCATGGTGGACCTTACCGTGCTATATTAGGCTAGCTCATCCACCTATATCATACAGGCTATATTATCGCTCGGCCACTAGCCTGATCAACGAGATTAACCGTATCCTGAGTTGGGATGAGATTCACTACTAAGAACGCAACACAGGCTGTGGCACAAGGAGCGTTGGTAGACTGACATCGAATGCATGGTCATTATCATCATCAGGTTTCAATAGGCACGTACACTTCCATGTCGACACTGTCTGTCTTCAGCGCTTCCCTCATCTCCTTCAAGTCCAGCTTAACACCATTCACCTAGAATAAAAATGGTGTACGACTCGCGATGACAACATCACAGGAAAGGCATCAGCATAACCACAAACATCAGTGTGACTATGCGACATGAGTTGGCCCTGATTAAGGGATAATCACAAGACACACATGACATACCATAGTAATGTAGGACCCTCCCGTCACTCTACTCTCCCCAGCCTGGCTTTTATTCCATTTGTCCAACAGCTGCCCTTCCATCCACAATAGTGACAATCTGTAAATCAGTAAGCACCCGTCCTCAATCAAAGCCCAGCCCGCCGAGCTGCCTGCACGACTCACCTCGAGGCAAGTCGGGCCTCCCATCACTGCTGCCCCAAGTAACGGTGCTTGATTCACAAAGCCGAACTTGTCGCCTGGTATCGTCTTCGTGAGTTTAACTCGAACCATTCTGCATGATGGAGCCGATGGTGGCTGAGACACAGAACAACTTACGACAACAAACACAATGATGATATTCTGCTAGTCTAGCAGCTCTTCGTCAGAAGTCAAGAGCTGTTCAGTAGGGACGCTCGACCCACCTAAGATGCATATCTCAACAACGTACCGGCTCCCTATCCCCTCACCTTCAAGAACCATAGTATGGGGAGCCACAGGGGACGGAATGCTCGGAATAGGAGAAGCCAACGCCTTCAAAGGGAGTGTCGGAT